GTTCTATCTATCATCGCCTGGAAAAGCATAACGAGATTCTTACGAGCATCGCACATTCAAAGCTAAAGGAAAGGGAGGATGCAGGCAGCAGCGGGCGTATCCGACCCTCCAGGGTGACCTGTGCGGAGGAAAGGTGCTCTTACTCGGACGAAGAACCCGGTGATCCCGCTTGGGTTCCTGGAAGACCGATCAGACGACGAATACGGCATAATTACTCGAGTAGAGGGCAAAGAAATGGCGCTCGACGACGCAGCAGGCTGTCGATTCACAGCCCAGAGCGGCAGAGAACTCTACCCGGTGCGATCGAGATTGCGACACCCCTCATTACTGGAAAAGCAAAGCAGCCTTTGGAGCCATCGTCAATTAGGAAACAACTTTTTCGGAATCCTTTACCCACGAATACTATCAGAGCGACCGATCAACGGAGGGCGACGCGAACGAATAATGGCAGTTACCCTTCTTACCAGGGCTCGTGGAAGGAAGTGCTCGACCTTTCGGGAGATACAGGACTTGTGGATATCGCACACTTTTTGGATCGTATATTTATCAAATTCTTGAGCAAAACTAGGAACAATCCTGGGCCCTCGCCAAACCAACAGCAAAGCCGGGGCGCTCGGTCCTTGTTGGCTATGGCCGTGCGACGTCTCCCGGATTTTATTGCAGAAGAGCAGAGGATACAGGATGAGCTCGAGGAGGATTGCGATGCAGATATGTGTGATGCATATTTTACCGAACTCGAGGCCCATTATGCTCCGGGTGGCAATGGATGGTTGCCCCTACGCGAAGCCGTGCGTGCTCAGGGCATTCGACTGGTCTCTGAGATGATACACAAGGGTTGGGTTACTAAGGCCGCCGCTTGTCGACTTTTAGAGGAATGTGTGAGCCATGGCGAAATTGACGCATTTGAGCTACTATTGTCTAAACAACTCACAACCGTTAACACATATGATTACCCAATAGCGTTCGACCCTCACAGGCCATCAACCCATTGTGATGATCCTGTCCACATCCTGGGAACTTATTACGCAAAATGTATTGGAAGCCGCTCGTTTATCTTTGACGAGCTGGCGAAACTCCTTTCACGTGGAGTCATGCCGCCGGAGTGGATGGTCACTAATCTGTGGAAGCGCTGTGTAGATGGGGCAATCAAAGCCCTATCAACCGAATGTATTAACTCGGCTGCTGCGACACGACTGATCGAAGCTGTGATACTTTCGGCTAGTGGTATTTCCCAGGCTTCGAATGTGCTCGTGTCTCACGGAAAGGTTTTAAGTACACTACGTGGTCGTCTAAAGGACACCCGTGCCTCCGCGGCGAATACGGCAAGTCTACCCAAAGACCAGTCGCCCTGTCCTGTTCCAATCCAAGATGCCTTGAACAATCTCACTTCAAGCCTTATTGCTGCGCTATGTGGAATGTATATCGCACGGTCGCAATCCGTAGGTGACAGTGATAACGTGATCGGCGTGAAATTCAGAGACACGTTGAGGCATTTGGCAATTACTGTTCAGCGGGCTATCGGACTGGGACAACCATGCGAGGCTAAAAGGACAACTCTTCATTCGCTGCGCCGTGGATATGTCTTAGTGGGCGACCGTTTGCTACAGTGTGGCGCAGTATCGCCATTGGAGCCCATCGGCCCGTCGGACTCTATCTCGAGGAGGAATATGAGAATATTTTTCTTATCATTAGCGTGTCAGCATGACATGGTCAGAGAATTAGCAGAGCTGGTCCGGCAGGTTGTCAAGTTTTACGAGCGCACGCGCAAGAGCGACCAAACTAGAGTATCCTCCGGGGTTCGGTCCAAAGTCTCACAGCTGGCTGGACTGACGAATTTCCACAGTTTCTCTTCACTTCTTGCAAAAGTAGCGGCCGAAACTGCCATGGGACTCGCCGAGTCTACTCTGGATGCTGATGACCATGCCTGGGCGATTGAGGTCCAACAGAATGCCGTTCTACTTCAGCAAGGACAGAGCCCGAAACAGTCACCCGCATCTGGCCGTGAAGCCCTAGGTGATAGCGTTGATATGTATCGATGGGAGGAAAGCATTGGTGAATGGGTGGCCAGCACACCTGCAACCAAAGCGAGATCTACTCAGTCGAATCTCGTCAAAGGATATTCTACTCGGTCAACAACCATTGCGTGCTCGACAAGTAGCATATCGTCTAGTTCTAGCCCCTCACAGGATGTTGCCTCCAGCGTCACATCATCTGCGCCATCTGTCTCAGCTAAAAGAGCATTTGCGGTCACAGGCGTTGGCTCTAAATCATGCAAGAGGCTTCGCTCAGCCCCTGTGGAAAGCCAAACCCGTGATTCACCAATGGCGTCGGAGCTCCCGTTTGCAGGATCCCCGATAGCCGCCCGGACCAGGGCTGCACGTGGGGCCCTCAAGGACTCAGTCCAACCGAAAGCTCCGAAAGCCTTCTCTATCGATACTTCATTCCCTACAACCAAGGTTGAAGTGGTCATTGTCAATAAGAGCGTTTCAGCCTTAGACCCCATGACTCGCAGGCGTTATTCCCGAACCACGGACGAGGGTACCGAATCGAATCGGAGAAAGTCACTCTCGGCCACATTGGGGCATCGGGGTGCTGGCAAACAATTCAGTACACCACGTATAACCAGGCGGACGATTCCTGGCTCGCAGGATGACGATAGTGATGACGAGCTGAATTTTTTATGAGAGTCCGTCTCTCTCAATTGGCGGTAGGTTCCCTCCCAATCTGTGCCTGACGAATAGTAAAGTTTTTGGTCCCCCGTTTTTTATATTGGCACTGGAAGTTTATCAGGGCGTTTCAGGGTTATCTCGTTTTCGTCTTTCTTTTCTTTTCTTTTAGAGGTGTTCCTTTGGATATTTGGGTTTGGTAGTGAATGATACCCGGGCATTCGTCGGATGTTTGGACGATTCGTTTTTGGAAAGCTTTAATTGCACGATGTTGGATTAGCCTAGACTAGTTGGCGCCAAAGATAGAATGGAATCTATTCGACACACTCTCCGCTCCTCCCCGACCGGGAGTCAGTGAGCCTTTTGACATAGCGTCGGAGCCGTTGGCGACGGGAGCGTTTTGTAAATTAAAGGTTGGTGTATTTCCGGAGCGCCACTCAGGAGAACCGGGCAGAATGTCTTAGACTTGATGGAGACTTGTGTCGGGGTTCTGTGGCCACTGGGTGGTAATAAGGCCAGGAGATATGACTTGTACCGCAGGGATCAAATGAATGATACACGTTAGTTTCCTATTGGGGAAATCTCCGGTTAAATGGCGTTATGCCTTTTTAATATATGCAGATGGACTGCAACGAATGACGAAAGTTGGAGCTAGGGTTGGACTAGACCAGGATTTCTCCGTTAGTGAGGATGAATAGCATTGTTTAGGTCGTACTAGTATGTATGTACGTATGTACGGAGTATGCTTTGATAAGATTTCCCATTGTTTGTATGTACCGGGGCTCCCCGATGAGGTACCCAAGGTACTCCGGTGGACTTGGGCGGCTATTTTCCATGGTACCGTCAGGTACACACGCTGACCGTGTTTGAACCTCAGGCTTGTCCATGTAGCTTCATATGTACTGATCAAAGAGGAGGATACAAGTCTCATGAGAATGATTCATCTTATGTGTCCAAGTGGACCAACGGCATTAGCGGCTAACTAATAGCCTGGTAATAAATCGTTCTAATATACCAGCTTCGGCACCCTGAGCAATTTCCCGGTTGCCAAGACGGCGAGAATGTTTCGGGAGATTAAGTTCTCATTCCATGCGACGAGTCAGATGCGACGAATAGAAAAAGAAAAGAAAAGAAGTTAAGTTGCAGAGAAGATGTAACATGAAGTGCTTGAGATGTGTCGTACAGACGAGATCCGTCTACCGTGAAGGTAACCATGCAGGTACTCTAACATGCTGGTACTACAGTAGTAAGTATATGTTGGACTGGTTGAGCGATCATGTATGAATGTGGACAAGTCTTGAACCCAGTCACAATATTTAATTGTTTTTATTTTATTTTATTATTATTTTATAATTGTTATTTATTTATTTATTATTAATATTAATATTATTATTTGTTTTTTTTACACACATACTCCAATGTACTCTTGTACGCCGTACACAGTAGTATACAGTCGTATACAGTATACAGTTAGTACTTGTACTAGTCAAACTAAAATCAACCAAATTTTGAGAACCCACTTTGGGCTTTTACCCGACCCGCTTCCTCGCTCATTCTCTCCCCCTCAAGCGCTCTATCGCTTCTTTCCCCCCACTTGACTGAGCCACTCTTCTCGCCTCTCGACCTGAGCAAGTTTAAATTCGCTCGCAGTGAATGGAGATTGGTCCGCGGGCGCAAGGAGGCCCCGACGAATGCAAGCCAGCCGAGCCCTGAGATCTCGTCGCCTACAACCCCCGTTGTTTCATCATCGAGCCACTCAACGGCCGTTCTGCCATTGCCGCCACCATATCATCGCAGCGTTGCGCCCACTCCAGGGATGAGCGCTGAGAGACACCGTCATGGCTCGACCACACTCTCCTGCGCTCAGAGAAGTCTATCGATATCATGTCGGCTCCATAAGTGGGCCCAGAAATGTCTCCCAAGATTTTCCTCTTCCTCTGTCCCCGCCGTCCCTGACCCAAAAGAAATGAAAATGCCTTGATCGCTTTCCTACTTTCTCTCCTGATCACCATCTCTCCTTTCCCTCCCTGCGAGCAGTTGCGGGCTTTCGTTCTCTATTTTTGATTCTTGGCAGAGATCCTGTGGGTTTCGTGCGACTAGTTTTTCGTTTACTTTGGTGACAGCCGCAAGACTTCGAAATCTAAAAAAAAAAAAAGGAAGTGACTGGTTCACCTCACCCACTCTCACATTCCTTTCGTTGCCAGCCGACCCGTGGCAATCCACACCTCGAAGCATTCAAGTTCCGATCAGCATCCGTTGCTGCTGGGACCTGCCTTGCTCAACAAAGGATTGAATCCTCTGTGTCGTTCTTTGATCCGCAGCTCGATTGTCTCCTGCCTGGCGTAAAGAGGAGATTGCTGGACGCTAACAAGGCCATTGTCTTCTATTCATTCCCTGGGCCTTCACAACAATAGGCATCTCGTATCGCATCATAAATCCCTGGATTTCTTGTCGCCCACTTGCTACTGATCATCACGTCGTGGCTTGTATGACGAGTTAGCTGGACGTCTTTCCCTCGTCGATTGCGGATTCGGGTATCTCTATCTGCTGAGCTGGTCTCGCATCAATTTCCAAGTCTTCAAGTTCGTCTGTTGACCATAGAGTCTTCTTTCGTTTATTTTCGTTGCTTCGGTTTAGGGAAGCCTCTTGGTAACCATGAGTTACCTACTTTTCTGTCTGTCCCTGGTAGGACTTTCTTCCGCAACTGTTCTCGACAAGCGTGGTGGCGATTGGGCGATCTACGAGATTGTCAACGATGACCTCGCGCGCATCTCGCTCATGGTTCTCGGCCTTATGGCAGCGTTCATCTATGTCTGGAAGATGGGATTCCGGATCTCGCACCATTTGCGACGATTAGCAAGTTTCAATAACTCAGGACAGCGCTACTTCAGATCACCCCATGAAACCCTCTCGTTTGTGAAAAACCATGTCATCTATGCGCCATTGCTTCGCACTCGCCATAATCGGGAATTTCAGCTGTCACGCGCTGTCAACATGGGCACCTTACCTAGTCGCTTTCATGCCTTTATCCTTATCGGCATCATCGCCATGAACGTGACCGTTTGCGTTGTGACTGTTCCTTACCAGAAGGAGGAGAATTCTGTCGCCGGTGTCATCCGAAACCGCACCGGCACCATGGCCACAGTGAACATGATCCCTCTCGTGCTGCTGGCCGGCAGAAACAATCCCCTGATCAAACTGCTCGAGGTACCCTTCGACACTTACAATCTGATCCACCGCTGGCTTGCCCGGATCGTCGTCTGTGAGACTCTTGCCCATGTCTTCGCTTGGGCTATTCCCAAGGCTCAGAAAAGTACGTCCCCTGGACCTCGTGGTCTACAATGTCAATATGAGGTGCTAATTACTGCTTAGTCGGCTGGAGTGCCGTTGGGCAGGCTCTTGGACACAGCAATTTCCTCCTGGTCGGCTTGATTGTAAGTTATTTTAGCCGACGAGCTTTATGAGCATCTGCTTACTTCGCTGCAGGCTACATGTGCATTTGTGGGTCTCGTGGTGCATTCCCCCTCTCCCATCCGCCACGCATTCTATGAAACTTTCCTCCACCTGCACATTATCATGGCTGCGCTCTCCATGGGCTTCCTGTGGGTTCATCTTAATGGGCTTCCGGCGCAGACATACTTGCTCGTTGCCATCATTTTCTGGGCTCTCGAGCGAGCTTCGAGACTTGCCATCCTTTTGTACCGCAACTGTGGCAGGAAATCCACTACGGCCTTGGTGGAGGCCCTTCCTGGGGACGCCATGAGAATCACACTGAGGATGGCGCGGCCTTGGACCTTCAAGCCGGGCCAGCACATCTATCTGTACATTCCTACCGTTGGATGGTGGTCTTCGCACCCGTTCTCCGTCGGTTGGAGCGAAGCGGAAGAGCTCGTTAGTGATGAGAAGGGACTTCCCGTGACTCGGCAAGATATGTTCGGCAAAAAGCACACCAGCTTATCCCTGCTGGTTCGTCGTCGGACCGGCTTTACTGACAAGCTGTTCCAACGGGCCCTGAGCTCTCCCAACAGTCAAGTCACGTTGCGAGCTTTCGCCGAGGGACCGTATGGCAGTATTCATTCCATGGACTCCTACGGTACAGTTGTTCTGTTTGCAGGCGGTGTTGGAATCACCCACCAAGTACCATTTGTGCGCCACCTGGTCCAGGGGTATGCAGAGGGCACCGTTGCAGCACGTCGCGTGACTCTTGTCTGGATCATTCAATCCCCAGAACACCTCGAGTGGATTCGCCCATGGATGACCAGCATCTTGGCCATGGATCGCCGCCGAGAGGTTCTGCGTATCATGTTGTTCGTCACCCGTCCCCGCAACACAAAAGAAATCCAAAGCCCAAGCTCCACCGTTCAGATGTTCCCCGGCCGACCAAACATCGACACTCTTATCGGAATGGAGGTTGAATCCCAAGTGGGTGCCATGGGTGTGCTTGTTTGTGGAAATGGTGGTCTTAGTGACGACGTCCGGCGAGTCTGCCGCAAGCGACAGAACCAAACGCAGGTCGACTACATCGAGGAAAGTTTCACATGGTAGATACACAAAATGGCTGAGTAGAGTCTCGTGTGTTCTGCCCGTTCCTTTTCTTACATCTTCCGTTTCTACCTTCTCTGCAGACATACGTGGGGAATTCTTTTAGGGTATATACACACAAAAAAAAATATGTATCTTCGTTCGTGGCTGGTTACTTTTATTGGCGATAGGGTGGTATATACGGTGTGGTTGTGTTTTTGACGTAGCATTTTGTTTTTCAACTGCTCTTCTCAATGTCAGTGTAGCCGTTCATTAGACTCTAGATCTGTGCCTTAGTTCCCGCTGTAACTTGCGCTTGCAGTGCATGACTAGTGCTTACCTATCTGCGAGCTTCCTCCGAAGGTGCTGGAACTGTTATGCGGAACGAAGCTCTTGATAATTCCGCTGATTACGTTGTGGGGAACTTATCTTATCACAATCAGTCTTTAATGATTCCTTAGCTGCAGTAGCAGAATTTACCTTAGATATTTATTAACTCTGTACAATATAAGCAACACTGCGCAAAATACAGGTAACAGCACTATGAATAGTATAACAGGAGTAATAGAAAATACAGTAGATAAAGTAAAAAAGTAAATTCAGAGAGTCTCTGACAAACTTACCAACGTAGAATCTAATATACAGAGATTCTATATTGTTGGTCTTGAGGAATACTGCCCATGGGAGCTTTAACGAAACCGATTCAGCTGTTATAAATTATATATGCTAAACTTGTCCTTCCAGCTTAACTTTACCAAAGTACTCGGGCTAGAGAGCTTATAGACAGAAAAGTTATCTTCTAGCCAAATTGAAAAGATAGTGGGTGTATATAAGGTGGTTGTTACGCCCGGGGCTTCGTTGTCAAGTCCTAAACCAGTAAGCTTTATAGTCACTCTTATAATATATCTTAAATTTCATCACTTTATTATCTAGAATATTCAGCTAGGTAGCCGAGCGATGGACTCATAGATATTATTTATTATTTATATCTAATCTCCCGACCCCAGCGGGCGCCATCTGTCTGGACTACCGTGAATACATCCTCCCACTTTCGCCCATCTTCTAGAAGGGCCTCGTCCTCTCCATCTATCTGAACCCCAATCTGCTGAAGATACAATCGTATCTCTTGCAGGATCTCCTGAGCATTTTCATATTGCCCCTTCCAGGCCTTAACCAGCATCGGACCCAATCGTGCCTCTTCTAAAAGCTGTAGCTTGCCCTCCTTCAGCCGTTGCTTATGGTACTCCCATACATTCACCTCCCCGGGCAACTCTGTCGGATCCAATGGATTGGTAGGCATCGCCCACCTCTTCGCTCTATGACTGGACGCATCCTTTCGCATCAATTGCCAGACAAAGGTCGCCCAATCCGAGAGATCGATCTTCGGACTGAGCTCTGGGTGCCCACTCTCGGGATTGGTTGGGTAATAGATCTCTTCTTCGTATCTCGTCCCGTCGGGAGAGTAAGGCCATTCATCTGTCGGGATGGTTGCGTTCACAAACCCTGATAGTGCAATCGAGAGATCATCGCGTATCCATACTGTGCTCGAGCTGAAATCCATCAGGTAGACCCTGTGTTTATGTAAGAAGGCTAGTATAGTAAGCGATTGCAGCGCCCAGCGGTAGTAGAGCAGGAGAAGAGGCTCTCTAAAGTCCTTGTTCTCGGAAGACATGCGCGGAAAGGTAGTCAGAAGTGGCAGAGTCGTAGCGCTCAGTGGGCCGGGATCTAGCTTCTCCAGCAGATATCCTACAGGGAGACGGCCAAGATATCTACTCCCATATAAAATTGCGGTATTTTAGTGGTGATTAAAAGAGATAAGCAGACAGGGAGGGTTTATTCACTTAACAATATAGGGATGAAGATCAATCGGTTGGTCTATATCCACATTCGGGACATTGGTCCTGTGTGCCAGATGCTCATATACCCGTGGAATCCGCTCAGCAATAGTAAACCACTCCTCGGGATCAACACGGGGATTATCTTTCTCGCATCGTTGAAACGCCGCGATACAGTCTTGGTTAGCATGCTGTACAAAGTATATCTGTTCATACAGCTCATCATACAAGTCCTCTGGGCGGTCGCTACAGACCGAAGGGACCACATCCCCATATCGAGGGTATTTGGACTGGCTGGGTGGATCGGGGTGCTGTTCTAGATCAGCAGGGTGGTCTGATGACCAGCTGGCACCCATAACGGTGACTTGATCTATAAAAAGAAGGAACGTAAAAGAGAGAGAAAGAGACGCGGCGGTTGGCATGCACCTTTATATGTTGGGCGGCATGGCGTTATTAGCGTTCGTCTAGGCTTAGCAGCCACTCCACCAACTATTAACTTTTCCCCAATCCTCCTCGCCCTTTACGACTTCAACCCCCTGATGAGGGTCCAACAGTGAGAATTTGGCGGACCTCGGATAATTACACTTTGTACGTTTCTTCCCATACGGTCAAAATATAAGCTATGTACGGCGGGGGAGACACCCAGATGTACATGTCTCGCTGCTAGATCTAGATGAGCTGACTGAATGACCCGTCCAGGACCCGTCACTGGCTACTGCAAATTCACGCAGGTCTGATCCAGCTTGGTCGTGCCAAACTGATACAGAAAGCCCCCCGGGAAATAGGTAAACAGCCCCCTGCCATTTGAGCGTCCACCACCACCCCCAGAAGCCTGGCACCGGCTTACGACTCTCCTTGAGATATTGCGCCGATGCCTTCCCTTTCTCGACAATCCGCTTGAGTTCGAGCTGGTTGAACTTCTTCCACTCCCCAACGAGATCGCTGGGCCCCCGGTTGGCAGTGTACCAATTATCAAACTGAAGCAGCACGTCGCGCATCCCACTGTAGCTGTCACAGAACGAGTGCCACACCTCGGGATGGTTCCAACAACCGAAGAGCATTCCCAGCTCTTTCAGATATGCCAACTGCTCGTCGTTAGGGTCCAGATTATCCCACCCGAGAGGTCTGAATTGGGGAAGAGCCCTTGACAATGGCCCCCTTCATCCAATTGGAGTCGTAAGGAAGACAGCGAGGCGGGCTTGGTCCCGGCTTCCGAGCTCATAACTTATTAATTGGGCGACATTGGTCGTTGCCCCGGCCCATGGAGCCTGTGAGAGAATCCAAGTGATGATCCAGGCGCACCCATTGCACATGATTCGGGCTGCCATGTTGTTCATCCTCCATCACCCAGGTTAATTCCGGGGACGCAAACTTCAAGTGCATCTTGGTCCCAACGCGGGTGGTTGTCCCAACCTCAATGAATCCCTCGAGGCTCTCTGTGGGCGGCTGTGGGATATTATCCTTCTCCGCCGTGCTGACCTTGTCGTCCGCACGCCGTCCCTCAGAGGTACCCTCTAACGGGCTGTCGACCGCGCCAGCCGGAAAATTGACCAGTACACGGCCCTAGTCGGACTGGATGCGGGATTCTGCGTATGTATCCACTGCCACTGCTCCTGAAATGCCACCACCGCTCCGGAGGGAGACGCTGCTTTCCCGGTACAAGTCAAAGGAGGGCCCATCCTTTGTAGATGCTCGACTACTTATATTACTTTAACTACTTCCACTACTTTGACTGCTTGAACTGCTTGAGTTGTTTAAACTATATATATTAATTAAATTACTCTTAGATTATATAATTCTTTTACTATAAAAGGTCTTGTTGTAACCCGACAGAATAGGACTGCTGTCTGGAGTCTAGAAGTCTCTTATTAACATAATGCGCTCTGCTTGACTTGAGCTGCGGTCCAGCCGGATGAAGCCGCAGGTCTATCCCTAGTATACATGTAAATTTACTAGTAAAATTCTCCGAAAATGGAAGAATAGTAGCTGTTTTAGAAAGCTAGGTCAGTTTAATAATTCGGGCGGAAAGGCCGCGCACATGGGAACTTTTTGATGTAGAACTATATAAGCACACATTGGACAGCTTAGAAATCAAGATCGGAGTGGGGCCGAAGCTTTGACAGGCCATGGCATCATTGATTCCCTATTAATCATCCATCCGCGGGGTCAATAACTAATCAATGGAGTTCCCTGACGATGCTTTTTATACCGGCTGTCCCGTCGGTTTCTTTTCGTCCCTCAGTTTCAATTATTTGTCGCTACAGCCGCCCCAATCACTTGACCAGCTTTCGCTATAGATATTCAACCAAGATGAGCCAACCCGATATCACTTTGTACACCTGCCAGACTCCCAATGGAATCAAGATCTCCATTGCGCTGGAAGAGCTGGGGTGCGTTTGTAATCCAACCTCATCATTCTTAGAACCGATGAACTAATTTAATGCGAATTTTAGACTTCCTTATAAGGTGCAGAACATTGACATAAGCAAGAATACCCAGAAAGAGCCGTATGTGACCTTCTAGCCAGAAAGTGGAAGTGAACAGGAGCATGGCTAATTCCACTTAAGCTGGTTCCTTGAGATTAACCCCAATGGCCGTATTCCGGCCCTGACCGACACCTTCTCTGATGGCCAAAAGATCCGTCTGTTCGAATCTGGCGGCATTCTCACCTATCTTGCCGAGCAATATGACAAGGACTACAAGATCTCTTACCCTAAGGGTACCCGCGAGTACTACGAGATGACCAATTGGTTATATTTCCAGAATGCTGGCGTGGGCCCCATGCAAGGCCAGGCAAATCACTTCGTGCGCTATGCACCCGAGCGCATCCAATATGGCATGACTCGGTATACCAACGAGACGAGGCGACTGTACGGCGTTCTCGACCAGCACCTTGCCAACTCCAAGTCAGGATACCTCGTCGGTGACCACATCTCGCTTGCGGATATTTCGCACTGGGGATGGGTTGCGGCTGCTGGATGGGCCGGTGTCGATATTGAAGAGTTCCCGCACTTGAAGGCGTGGGAGGAGCGTATGGCTGCTCGGGAGGGCGTTGAGAAGGGTCGCCATGTTCCATCGCCTCATACTATCAAGGAGCGCCTGAAGGACCAGAAAACTATCGAAGAGGAGGCGGCTAAAGCCCGGGAGTGGATTGTGCAGGGCATGAAAGCGGACGCTAAGCACTAAACGATACGATTTTGTGGCAGAAGGTGACTCGTGGAGTTGATGATTTAATTAGTTTATCTATGTTAGCGATGTGAACAGAAATCATTATGATCATGTAAAGCCATTCTCTCGTCATTATTCTTCCTTCATGGAAGCTCCTAATGCTTAGTCATCACGTCTCACGTGGATACAAAAGCTTGCCACCTCTCCTGCAAGTCCGCCTTGATATCACCTTACTTTTCCACTCTCATTATTATTTTCCATTAATAGCCACTAACCCTGTTGCTCACATCGCAAGGCAATAGATTAACTTCATTTGCAGCGCAAGTCCAGGGAAAATGGCCTGGCGGAATCAAGGAGTCACAGGCTCCAACAACGTCCCTCTGGGCCGGAGACGGTTTGGTGGTGATGATCCCGCAGAGGAGGAGAGCCGCACAGCAACTCCTTCGTCTGTCGGGGAGCACAAGCGTGGCAGAAGTCCTGTTCGGGGTATGTTGCTTTCACCCCTAACCTCTTATTAACTTATATACGTGGAGATGCTTACTATTGCTCTAGCTGACCCTCCAGCTGACGGGGTCAAGAAGCGCAAGAAGCGCAACCGTTGGGGCGATGCGCAAGAGAACAAGGCTGCCGGTCTCATGGGCTTGCCCACGATGATCATGGCAAACTTTACCAATGAGCAGCTTGAAGCTTATACGCTTCATCTCCGTATTGAGGAGATTAGCCAAAAGCTTCGTATCAACGATGTCGTCCCAGCGGATGGTGACAGGTACGCTACCCCTTTCGCCTCATCATATCAGCATAGCTAATCCATCTTCGAATTACAGGTCTCCGTCACCCCCTCCGCAGTACGATAACTTTGGCAGACGTGTAAACACTAGGGAATACCGTTACCGGAAGCGCCTCGAGGATGAGCGGCACAAGCTCGTCGAGAAGGCCATGAAGACCATTCCTAACTACCACCCGCCTTCTGACTACAGACGTCCTACCAAGACTCAGGAGAAGGTCTACGTTCCAGTGAATGACTATCCAGAAATTAACTTCAGTATGATAACTAACCCTCTAACTCCTAACCATTCCTGTGTTGTGTACTTCATGACTCTTTGCTCGAGTCGGGCTCGTAAGAAAGACATCGCCCGTCGGTGCCTTTTCGGCTCGCTTCTTGCTAACCCTTGATGCGTGATGTTGAACATTTTACCGTTGCTCTCCCATTTCTTTCTAATAACAGCTTGAACTAACACTTAGCTTTCTGCTACCTTTTAAAGTTGGCTTACTCATAGGACCTCGTGGTAATACCTTGAAGAAGATGGAAACCGAATCCGGTGCCAAAATTGCTATTCGTGGCAAGGGCTCTGTCAAGGAAGGAAAGGGACGCTCTGACGCCGCTCACGCTAGCAACCAGGAAGAAGACCTCCATTGTTTGATCATGGCAGACACTGAAGAAAAGGTTAACAAGGCAAAGAAACTGGTGCATAACGTTATTGAGACGGTACGTTGTTCCCTATCTCATTCTATGTCAATCGATTACTAAGTACAATGAACAGGCTGCTTCAATTCCCGAGGGTCAGAACGAGCTCAAGCGGAACCAGCTTCGAGAACTTGCCGCTCTTAACGGTACTCTGCGTGATGATGAGAATCAGGCTTGCCAAAACTGTAAGTACATCTGTGCGCTGCAACTTGTTCGGTTTTTCTGACTCTTTTCAGGTGGCCAAATTGGACATCGCAAGTATGACTGTCCAGAACAGCGCAACTTTACCGCCAACATCATCTGTCGTGTTTGTGGCAACGCTGGTCACATGGCCCGTGATTGTCCTGACCGTCAGAGAGGCACCGACTGGCGTAACAATGGTGGTTACGCTGGTGCTGGAGGCCGTAGAGCTATTGGTGGCGGCGACGCTGTCGACCGTGAAATGGAGGTAAGTGCCATCTTGCCCTTGAATTTATCAATCAAGGATATATACTGATACTGTTTTTCAGCAACTCATGCAAGAGTTGTCGGGAGGAGCTCCAGGTGAAGATGGCCACATCCCTCGCCGCATCGAAGCTGGTCCCGATCAGGGTTACGACGACCGTGATGCGAAGCCGTGGCAGCGTGGGCCACCGCCCAGTGATGTGGCTCCTTGGCAACAGAGAGGCCGAGACAACCGCTCCCGTGATGACTATGGATCGCGTGACCAGGGAAGCGCACCCCCATGGGCTCAGAGTAGCCGTGGAGGCGATTATGGATATGGCTCGCAGGGTGGCTACGGAGCCCCTGGCGCTGCACCCTGGCAGCAACAGCAGCAGCAGCAGGCCCCTCCGCCCCCTCCGGGTGGGCAGGCTGCGTATGGTTATGGCTCTTATGGCGGATACGCTCCTCCCGTTCCGGGCATGGGCGCTCCCGGGGCTTCTTCTAGCATGGGAGCTCCTCCTCCTCCACCGGGCATGCCGCCTATGTACTACGGCTCCGGTGGCAGCCCACCACCCCCACCCCCTCCTCCTGGTGAAGGACCACCACCTCCTGTATGTTCCCTTGGACCTATATGATCTAGGTGAATGCCTTGCTAACCTTCGTTATAGCCCCCGAGCGAGCAACCTCCTCCTCCCCCGCCCGCTTAAAATGATACAGTGTCGTATTTGGCCTGTTTTGTTGTGTTAGGTGCAAGCTAGGGAAAATGTGGAAAACCGGCTTAGTTTGGTAACAGGGCGAGGGGCATTACTTCTACTAACAATTGTATTTTGTAGTTTGCTGAGGTCGCCGGCCTCTTCATAGTAGTTCGCTAATTCATACTTATCTTCTGTAAGCGTCTGGAATGCATATTCTTCGTGTTCTTAACAGCAGTTGCATGTACCTTGTATCTAACTGAGTGACATTGGCAGAGATATCTCCAAAAAGAAGCATATATGAATGGACCCATCAGCGCAATGGCTTGCCTAGAGGACTTACTTTAATAGAATGATCACAGTTAATGGCATTGACGGTATTACCTGCAGCACACAGCCACATTACTCCCGATACCCAGATGAATACCATGTCAGAATTGGCATCATATGTGAAGTTTGCACCTATTCATGAATCCCATCCTTTTCACTATTCAGACTCTTTCCTTTCCCACAGCTTTCTCTTTCCCTTCGTAATCCTCTCTGGCCGAGCTTTTCTTCTTCCTTTTCTCAAGGTGCATATATTAATGGGACTCGGTGGGATCCAATCAACATACACGGGCTCCGCGAAATCGATACCAGACTTACTCCATTACGTCGTGATCTATAAAGTCAATGGAAAGGGCAATGGGGGCAACAAATCTTCTCGACTCTAGTCTCTGACAGATTGCCAGTGCGTTGGTTAGGAAACGCAGTGGATATCTTGAATTCTTCTACTCTGTAGTATATAGCCCGTACCGGCCGGTGATTCAAGTGGACGGGGATGACGAACCCCCGTGACGCATCAAACGGAAAAACGACGAAGAACGTCACCTTCGACGGCCGAGGGCATTAGCAGAGTTCTCAAACACCCAAGTATCTGAGTATGGTGTTCATGGCCGTCCGCAGTACAGACAGCACCTTTTTCTATCATTTACTCGAAGCTGTTCAGATTGGAAAGAAGGCTCAGCAGCATGCCATCCCGTGTATCTTCACCCGCTACATCTCTTCACAGCCTTGCAGATAGAATGGGTTTGCCCGTCGAATTATGACCAAACTCGCTATTCAGGACCAATGTTAAAATGCGTCATTCCTGCTAGCTGCCATATCTCAGTAGCAAGAAATGGTCGGTTTTGCCGGAACCACTACTTACACGTTTGTATGCATAGGGGAAGCAGTCAACTTTCCTGGAAGCCCCATACAGTGTATTGACTTCATTAACATCTATCCTTGCCCTGGGTTCAGTGACAGGAATCTCAGTTTGACGAACTTCTCCTCTCTTCTCTTTTATTTAGCTTACCAAGACATTCATGAGTTCTTCATCGTGGATTCAAATCCAACTTCTATATGGGTGCTTGGCCACCCCTCTATGGTATCCCTAAACAAACAAGATGCCCTTACGACTGCCTTCGTACTTCACGCGCTGCACTTGTACAATACTTAAGACGAGCTATCAGATTCACCGTCAGACTCTCGAACAACTCAGCTATGGTGTATCCGGTAGTCGTCAGAATAATAGGATCATTTCCCTTAACCCTGGCAATGACAACCATTATCATTGGCATATGCACCGCCTAGAGGTTGGAAGTAAGACTTTGATCTGGTTAAACCTTTTGAGGCTAAAGTAATGGTCACAGTCTACCAAGACTGGTGTGGGCCCTACAAAATTATTACCCCTGCCTCAAGCTACAAGCAGCTTGTGGTGTAGTTGTCACGCCCGTATCGGTTCCCCTTCTCTAAGGTCAAAGTCAATTATCAACAGGACAATAGCTAATGAATACGGCTACTTTGTCAGCGCTGTGTGGGAGTACTCAGAGCGTAACAACACATGCAAAGGAGTGAATTTCGATCTGAATTTCCTGTGGTCAAGAGTGGGATTAGCTGTTGTATATAGTCCCTTATTAGTTAACTAGTATTCTTTCTTGAAAGTAGAGAAAGACAGAGGTATACTACACTACTTTTTGTACGGGATATCACACTAATTTCCCTTTCGGGAATTGAATCTTATCGATAAGACTAGACAACTTGATTGGTTCGATCCATGTAGGAACACCGCCTTTGCGCGGTCAACTTTTTCTGCCGCAAAATTTAGAAGAATTTCATGAAGCACGCAGAAAAGCCAACAGATTTGAACAGATAACAATGGCGCCCTCTCGCTCCCCGGAGCCCGTATCAGACGGCTCTCACGAGCCCTCGGACTCCTCAGACGTTGAGCAAACGGAGCTGCAAAATCGCGCCCCCAAAAGAAGACGCCTATCGGAGTCTTCAGTAGACTCCTACGTTGCTCCGGCGCCGCTCCCCACCCTCTCTCGTATCAAGAAGAAGGAAGCAAAAGATGATAAGCCTGCCACAACCACGGAAAATGACAACCCTGTCTTGATTCGTGATGCCCTTGAAATTGGACTGCAGGATGAGGAGTCTTCATTCAAAGCACTCAATGTTTCGCCGTGGTTGGTGGGCTCCCTGACGACTATGGCGGTTAGAAAGCCCACGGCCATTCAAAAAGCCTGTATACCGGAGATTCTGAAGGGGAGAGATTGCATTGGAGGTAGCCGGACTGGTTCCGGAAAGACAATTGCCTTTTCGGTGCCTATCTTGCAGAAATGGGCGGAAGATCCGTTTGGCATCTTCGCAGTTATCCTAACTCCCACAAGGTACGTTGCCAGTCACTGAAATCTTTTCTTAGAGGCTACGATGCTGATAGTTTTTCTTTTAGAGAACTTGCGTTGCAGATCTACGAACAAATCAAGGCGATCTCGGCACCTCAGAGCATGAAGCCACTTTTGATCACCGGAGGAACAGATATGCGATCTCAAGCACTTGCTCTTTCGCAGCGGCCCCATGTTGTGATTGCGACACCCGGTCGACTCGCAGACCACATCAATACATCCGGTGAAGATACGGTGCGTGGACTGAAGCGCGTCCGCATGGTCGTTCTTGATGAAGCCGATCGACTTCTGGCTCCTGGTCCCGGAAGCATGCTTCCTGACGTAGAGACCTGTCTATCCGCTCTCCCACCGTCCAGCGAACGTCAAACGCTCTTGTTCACCGCAACATTGACCCCCGAAGTGCGCGCTCTCAAGTCCATGCCTAGAGCTGAGAACAAACCGCCGGTCTTTGTTACTGAGATCTCGACCGAGAATAAAGGCACAATCCCTCCAACCCTCAAACAAACTTACCTCAAGGTCCCCATGACGCACCGCGAGGCCTTCTTACACGTGCTCTTGTCTACAGAAGGGAACTCCTCTAAGCCGGCTATCATCTTCTGCAATCACACTAAGACTGCCGATCTGCTGGAGCGGATGCTTCGCCGCCTCTCCCATCGAGTCACCTCACTACATAGTCTTCTACCCCAGTCCGAACGTAACTCTAACCTCGCGCGTTTCCGTGCTTCCGCTGCCCGGGTCCTGGTAGCGACCGACGTCGCGTCTCGTGGTCTGGATATCCCGTCGGTCAGTCTGGTGATCAACTTTGATGTACCGCGCAATCCGGACGACTATGTCCACCGTGTCGGTCGTACCGCTCGTGCGGGACGGCAAGGTGAAGCGGTTACCCTAGTTGGACAGCGAGACGTACAACTGGTGCTAGCGATCGAGGAGCGAGTGGAACGGCAGATGGAAGAATGGAGCGAGGAAGGCGTCAGCATTGAGGGACGCGTGGTGCGCGGTGGCGTGCTCAAGGAAGTTGGAGAGGCTAAACGAGAAGCTACTGGAGAGATTGAGGAGGGCCGCGACGTGTTAGGGCGGAAGCGGAATAAGCTGAAGAAGGTACGGTAGGCTTCGTCGGAGGCGTGGATAGATTGTACATATATCGAGGATGTCTTTTTAATGATATGATGGTTGTTCAGCGATGTTGTTGCGTCGGTTTACTTGGAGTCAGCCAAGGCATTCTTTGATTATTTTTTGTTCGATCCTACGTCTACTTTTGCGCCAGGTTAGGAGTCCATCTTGGCTGGCAATCTCCGATCTACACCTATTTTATTTTCCAGGGTACCACCCGTATGAGAGTCTCCTTGGTGGTTTGAAGGACATCAATCGAGCCATGGTCGAAACAAATCCACATGGGATCATCCTCATGAGATGTTTCGTGAAGACAATCCAGAACTATTTCCGCCAAGACAGAATAGTTGACGAACCTCTCCTGATGGCCACGTTCTCGAAACGCCATCGATAGCCAAACCATGGTGGGAAATAGTGGGATTTAAGTTTCGGCTATTGTTGTTTCTTATGGGGAATGAACGTCGTATGACTGACTGACTGGACTGTCAACGATCACAGTGGAGTCGGCCAGTTGGTACCGCGTCGGCTGATCCCGGTGTTTTACTTCTTCCAGACTGGACAGGGACACCGGTTGGAACTTGGGAAGAAAGGGGATGGTATGTCCTTTTGAGGGGGAAAAAGAAAGAAATCTCAAACCGAACCACAGTTCCAAAATCCTCCTGAGTCCTGGGATGGAGAAGAATTTGCCAAGGCCGAACGAACGCCGGGAGGCATGAGAAAAGGTCTGGGATGTCTGGGATGTGAAGTATGACGGTGCATCTCCAACAGCCAAGGTCAATAGTTGAGAGAGTAATTACATGAGAAGTACTACGCCGGTGGGAAACCTAGACGGGGGTCAGGTGACAAGGGATCCTTCTCCGCGGGCAAAACGTGACTCGATTCGACGACGCCCCAAAAACTGTGAATCACAGAATACGACGTAACTCCATCGACTCATCTCCTGGCTCCTGGCGCTCGAACAGGGACCCTCCGGGGGCTGCAAATTCTGATCCATCGCATGACTTCGGATGCATGTCTCCAAAATCTCGCGCCCCTCTTTTCTCCAGGCCAGTTTGATTTCCCAGGGTTTGGGATCGGCATTAGGTCGAACGGGATCCCAGATGCGAACGAGGAAAGAACTTAGAAGGGCTAAGCATGGGATGGGGGATGGGGGATGGGGTATCATTCCTCCGGCATACCTTTTCCCCCTCTCATTTGTGTTTTTCGTAATATTTTTTTTTTTCTTTGCCCAGCCTTCGAGAATCCAGTGAACGAAGCACGTTCCAAGGAGGAAGCCATGCACTGTCACTCTCCACCCGTTGCCTGGATGGGGAAACGTGAGTGACGGAGGCACTGACGAGTCTCGTTGTCTGGACGGAGGGCGGATCTTCGGCAGTGTCCGACCTCTTGGGAGTGGAGCGCCTTTGGTGCCGTTGCCGAGACGTCGAGACAAATAGGAAAGAGAGGGAGAAGAAGGGGGCAAAAATGAAAGAACAAGGGAAGGTAGAGGCAGGGAACAGGCAACCTCTTGCATTCGAGTAAAACTCCTTACCCCCCGACGATGAGATCATGGTGGACAGAGTCGACTACGAACTGTAGGCCCCATCCTCCGTAGTATCTACTAGAGAGATCGTAAGTCGACGGAGGATCTCGATTGAATGATGTACTTGTACCCCATGACATTTGGGAGGAAGGATTGGTCTCTAACTATCTCCCCGGTGAGGGAGGCGATCAAAGTCAATTATATTAAAAAAGAAGAAATGGAAAAAGAAAGGAAAAGAATGTCAGACGCTGACGGGGCAAATCGTATTATTTTATTTCTTTTTATTGTTCCTGTTTGATTGTGAGTAGTTGTCTTTCCCCCTCCCTCAGTGTCCAGTCAATAACGTGGATTTTTTGTTGGCCGCTTTTTTTTTTTTTTTTTTTTTTTTTTTTTTTTTTTTTTTTTTTTTTTTTGTTCTTTCTGCCTGGCTTTAAGCCTAAAAGAGAAGTTTCTACGCTCAAACCGTCTGACCCTCTTTTTTTTTTTTTCTTTCTTGGTTGGAGTTCCTCCTCTTTTCTCACTCTGGGCCCTCCCGAGGCCGCCTTTTCCTTTTTCTTCTTTTTTTCTTTTTCCTTTTTAATTTTTTCCCCCCTTCTTATTAACATCCTGTTCGTTTGCCCAATTTTTTTAGTAAATAATTTTACCTCACATCTTCCCACCTTCAGCCCCCTTCCTCCTTCTTACTTGTCTACCTTCTGGTTATCTCTTTATCCATCGTCAATTTTCTTTATGTCACTCCTTCCGCTGGCCCTCTTGCTAACTTCTGGCCTTATTCGCACGTCCCTGCTAACTCCCTAGCCGCGCGTTTCTTGCGCTTGAAGTTATCAATCACCCCGCCGGAAAAAATCTCGAATTATTTTTATTTTGGATTTTATTTTTCCGGCGGCTACTATCAACCTTGAGGGTTTTGGGTGAACAAGGGCAAAAAAAAAAAAAAAAAAAAAAAAAAAAAGAAGGTCCGCCATCATCGGGGTCGGCACTTGGGATATCAGTTACGAAATTTTTTGTTAAACATTTTCTACTACTCTATTTCCCAAGGCCCCGTGTGTATCCCAATACACGCAGAAGGGACACTACTCATCTCTTTCTTTCTTTTTTTTTTTCTTTCGAGGTCAAGGGGAAAGATATACTTCCCCTCAAATAAATACCAATGGTCTCTATGGTTGAAACCTCCAATCCCAATCCAAATGACACCGCCATGGATACGGTTGTCCCTAAAACTGAACCCGCTGTACTCGAGGGCTCGATCAGTTCAGCGGTATCAACCCCCGAGGCTGAAGGCGAGATCTTAACGCAAGATGTGGCCCAGACGCAGAAACGAAAGGGTGGAAGAAAACCTGTACGTAAGATCTATTCCCTTTTCCCTTTATTTTATTTTTTTATTACATTATTATTTTTTTTTTCATTTTACCCGCCATGTGGTGTGTGTGATGGCAATCCGGGGCCCCGCATTACGGTTATCATTATCATCACCCATTATGTTTCTGATTTGATCGATCGCTTCTCTTATCTTTGCCCATCCCTGTACCTTTTTTTTTGTTTATTTATTTATTTATTTATTCATTTATTGTTTATGTCACTCACCTATGCTGGCTTATCTTGATCTTGATCTGCTGTCCTTATCGTCATGATCGCCCGGCTTATTTGTTTAAGCTTCTTTTAAGTTAACCTTCGTCTTAGATCTATGCGACCTCTGAGGAACGGAAGCAACGCAACCGTCAGGCCCAGGCTGCCTTCCGTGAACGTCGCACCGAGTACATCCGTCAGCTCGAGTCTACTATCAAGCGCAATGAAGAGTCCCTGCAGACCTTGCAGCAGAACCATCGCACGGCCGCCGATGAGTGCCTGATGCTGCGATATAAGAACTCCCTGTTGGAACGCATCTTACTTGAAAAAGGTTCGTCATCCTATCTGGTCCTCTGTGAAACATATCAATGAACCAGAGAAAGTAAAACAAAACATGGATTAACCATACGTAGGGATCGATGTCCAAGCAGAACTGCGCTTGAAGGCCGGCGCTCCAGGGGGTCCGAAGCCCAACCCCATGGCGGGGAAACCCCCATCATCCTTGGAGCGTGCAGCGATGAACCGAAATTCTGCTCAAAGGCATCCCACTGGAATTGCACCCAAAGGAGAGCCTTTTGGAATGCCACAGCCTCGTGACGGGGCGTACGGCATCCCCTCTCCCCAATTTCAGGCTACGCCTCCATCCCACGTCTCCTCGCCGTCTCATGCCAAGTCACCTGGGTTCGCCTTCCAAGGGGCCATGTCCCCAGCTGGAGTCGACCCTCAGCAGGCTGCACAACACTCACGCCTGTCGCACTCGAGGAATATCAGCCAAACATCGCCTCCCATGAGCGTCGCCCAGTCTGATACCACCGACCCGAAGTCTGCTCTGCCGGGTGGTGCAGGCCCCCGAGGACCCCGTGTCGCCTCAGCATATTACCCGTCGCCATTCCAAAAGCACTATGATCAGCTTGGTAGGCCTCCCCGTTCCAATGATGGTTTTAGTACCGAGTTGATGACTAACCATAACTTCTAGAACAAGAGTATGACGCTCAGGCCGACCTGATCGATGAGGAGCATGAGTCGTCCGTGGGCGCCTCGCCGTACGTGCCTGGCTTCAACGCTGCCGCATCGGTTCCTGGCTCTCACTCCATGGGCCACCACAATCTTCCACAATTCAATCCACATTCGGGAGAAGGATCCAATGGAGCATATAATAACACGAATCAGCTTCTGGGCAACTACGAGCCCATGCTCGATGCAGATCCCTTTGGCCTGAGTGCGAGCATGCACTTCCAGACCCCCTTCAGCTACGAACAGAATAATACTCGTCACTAAACACCACTTTCCGTCTCTACTCCCGGTCCAATACTTTGGCTACCCCGTGTTAATTTTCCCCTTACCTCCTTTTTCTCCTTTTAGTCGTCTACGATCCGTCGAGGAAATATACCCATGGGAAATAAGGATAAGAACTGATTTTTACTCTGATTCACATCCGGCTTCGTTCTGGCATCCCTCGGCATGGCATCGGAAGACAAAAGTGATTTCAAGCATTGCCCGGCGTTTTGCGGTTGATACCATTTGCTTGTGTTGGTTGTTGATTGAACAAAAAAAAGAGATGCTTGCGAGGTTTCAAAAGACAGTTTGTTGGTGTATATGATGCGTATATGTGTGAAGCTACTGAAGGGGACTGCCGAGCAGTCTTGATTCTCTGGACATATATTGTTATGCTGGGTTATGAGGTGGCACGGCTGTTTTAATTTTCTTTTTCTTTTCTATTTTTTTTTATCCTGTCGTGTTCTTTTGTGGTATTGCGGTTTCAAGAAAAGAAAAGGAAAAAAATTACTTCGTTGTCTATGGTTCACTTTATGGGATGAAGATGTATGTATGTATGTATGTTATGGATGGATGGATTAGGGTTAACGGGAGACGTTGAGACAGGAAGGGATATGATTGGAGGAAGGAAAGAAATACCACCTTGTGCTACTACTACGGTACTACTTTAGTATGATTCTTGTTCACGACATCATGGATCGGAGAGAGAGTGACGTAGATGTCAAAGGGAGCAGTGACCAGTTGATGTTGATCGCTCATGATGCCATCTGCAAGCCCCGCGTGACGCCATTGCCGGGCTAAAGCCCTAGACCTCAGCCAATCACGGCACGCGTACCCGAATTCGCTTAGCGAGCAAGCACACCTTACCGGATTGGGGCAGAGCAACCACAAACGTTTGTCTCCAACTCCTCAAGTCATCATCCACCCGATCACCCCCCTTCCCTTAAACTCCCCATACCATCCATTTAGGAGAGGCCGGATACCTACGCCGAATAGGTTTCTGCCTTGCTCGTCGCCTTCTCCCGCCCTTTTTCGTACCGAATTGCTGCGATAACGGAGAGCCTTCCCCGGAAGGCCCCTCATAAAACCAGGCGTCATGGCGGACGTCCGGTCCAAGGTACGTGCGAGAGAGCTTTTTACCGTGCGGGAATGGTGTTCAGGAGCTACTGTTGTCCCTGGTCTTTTGGGTTTCGAAATCAGATCGATGGGAAAGTCAATTGGTGGGGATGAAAAGTGCTCGAGTGAAGAATTTACTGGGTGAAGGGAGGGGAGGAAGAAAAAGAAAAAAAAAAAAGTGAAAAAAAAGTGAAACGCGATGCTGACGGATGTCTCATATCTAGAACCTTTACGAGCTTCTTGGTAATACATACCCTTCCTGAGTTGCGCCCTATGGATTGTCTTGGGATCTTTCATGCTGCGATTGTCAAGTTCTCCGCTGTCAAAAGTCATTACATCATCTAACGTACTTCCGCGATTCGCTTTTCAGGCAATGATCCCGAGTTGGACCCCAGCAGACCCCCCGCTCCTCCCACGAAAGCTATCGACAAGCCCGCTCCTCGTGTAGGCAAGCGTGATGCCCCCAAGGAGGCTCCCAGCCAGCCCCGTGCCGGCCAGAACTCTCGCCGTGGTAACAACGTCTCTGGCAATGAGGCCGGTATGTGATAGTCTCTTTTTCTTTTTTGTTGGCGTTATCCGGGCCTTCCGGCTAATCCCATCTCCGTATAGCTTTCCGTGACCGCAACGCTGGTCGCAACCAGAACCGCGAGAAGCCCACCGATGAGAGGGAAGGTGGTGCCCGCCGTGGCGGACGTGCCCGTAACGACCGTCAGTCCCGTACCGGCCAGACGTAAGACTTCCCACCCTTGAAATATTTGCCGGTGATGTGGTTTTTATTGGGATCGTTCGAAACTGACCTGTGTTGGCACTGCAGCGACTCTGGAAAGAAGGTGAACCAGGGCTGGGGTGGCCAGAGCGGCGAGAAGGAATTGGACGATGAGCGCGCCGGTGAGAAGATCGCCCAGGCCGACGAGAACGAGCCCCAGACTCCCGCCGAGGAGGCCGAGCCTGCTGAGAAGGCCAAGTCGTATAACGACTACCTTGCTGAGAAGGCGGCCGCCGGTGACTTCAGCGCCAAGCCCGTCCGTGCCGCCAACGAGGGCTCCAAGGCTGACTCCAAGTGGGCCAACGCCAAGGAATTCAAGCGTGAGGAGGATGAGAACTACATCAAGGGTTCCTCTGAGAAGGCCAAGCGTGAGAAGGCTCGCAAGGAGAAGAACGTCCTTGAGGTCGACATGCGCTTCGTTGAGGCTCCCCGTGGCACCAGCGGTCCCCGTGGCCGTGGTGGCCGTGGCGGACGTGGTGCCCGTGGTGGCCGTGGCAGCGGTCCCCGCCCTGAGCGTACTGAGCGCAGCGCTCCTGTCACCGTGGACGAGAAGAACTTCCCCAGCCTTGGCGGCAAATAAATACAGTCAGTCTCATAGCGGGGGGGTATTCTACCGGCACACCCCGACGCCGGTCCAATGAAAGGTCGAAAACGAAAAGAATCTTGAAGAAACCCTTACGATGCCTCTTCCTGGAAAGTGACGTGATATGGATTGCGGGAAATGACACGAGACGAAATCCTTCGGTCCTCGCATTTAGGTTTAAAATGGCCCCGATGTAATTTGATTTGAATGTCAAAAAATAGGAAAGTGAGAATTCAAAACAAAAAAAAAAAAAAAAAGTTTCTCCTAGGAGGGATTACAGGTGTGAACCTGTAGTGGTCTCTCCATTTCTTAAAAGGTCATAGTAGACATAGCATCCGTGAAATGTACTACGACTAGTAAGAGACATCACCAAAAAAAACTTCAGACTCGAAGCACCCAAACACAAACCTCAAAACCGTACAATCAAGTAACACATCAACAACCAACCACCAGCTATCCAACCTCCCTCACCCCAAGACCCTCTTCACCCAACTCATACACCCCGAAAACCCCCCTCCACATCGCCACCAACCCAGCCCTAACCACCTCCCTCTCCACGCCCTGAATGCCCAACACATTCCCCCGATCCCCAAGATTAATGAACCCGCCCTGATCAAGCCCCCACAGCGCCTCCTTCACCCAAACCCGACAGCTCATCTCCTCCCGAAACCGCGACGAATACGCCGTCCGCGGCACATTAGCCAGACACTCCTCCAGCGCGCCTCGCAGCATCTCTACGTCGTCAATGACGTCCACCTTGACGGCCGCGATGACCGGCCGCGATTGAGACTCGAGCAGGTTGGCAGGCGCGCTGTTATAGGACCATAGTCGGCGAGGAGCTTTTTCGTCTGTGAGATCGTGTTTCGTGCCCCGGGTTAGGGGGCCGTGGGTGTTGGTTGTGTACAGGGACCAGTGGAATGTCGATGGCGTGGACCGGGATTGGAGGAGTATGTAGAGGGTTGAGGGTGTTAGGGTGTTCATTTTGGTTCTTCTCGATCTTTCTTTTCGGGCTTGCTTTTGGCTCTTGTTTCTGGTGTGCTTTGGTGGTGTTGTTTATTAGGATTTGTGGGTGGTTTGATGGATAGGGGGGGTGTATGGAGAGATGTATGTTTATAGGTAGGGAGGGAGGGAGAGGGAGATAGATAGAAGTAAGTGAGTGTGTGAGTGTGTATGAATGATAGAGATGTGAACTGGGATCCGAGATTGCTTTTTATACGGGCCTAGTAAAGGGCGCTTATGTGTGTTCGCTGTATGTCGAGACCTGGTTATTGGTTGTCTGGGGTTCTTTTCGGGTGTTATGCATAGTGGCTTGGAATCTATGATTTGCTTGTGATTGTCATCCTTGTGGAAGGTGAGCAGGAATGGAGATGAGGCAATTGCAATTATCTTTTTTTACTCTTCTTTGTTTGGCTGCACGATAGTTGGAGAGGGTCTTCATGGCTTGCATGCGTTCGGACAGAGCATACATACTTCTTTCCTCCATCCGTGTTAAAGGGACCATAAGTCCTCCTCCCCAAAGGAATTCAGGTGAAGAACTCCACACATCCTATCAGGGTTATCAGCCCCCAAGCTCGAGACGGGCCGAGCCAACATCCCAATCGACAACGCAACCAATCCATCTATATTAGCCATGCGCCTCTGCATCTATGCTTCGACCCCAACAGTTGCTCATCACGTTGCATCGGCCCACCACCAGCCGGACTACTCGACTCGTCTGCCCTCCGTTCGTGAGGTAGTACTTGACATTTGACGTGGGGGGCTCTGGCGATAGGAGGCTCCAGTAGAGCTAGAACGTGTCTAGACTGCTCGAGTTTGAAGCTTAAATTGGCCGGCTGCCATTATCATTGTCGCGTGTTGTTGTACAATTTCAGTACTAGCGAAACGCAAACATGAACGAACGAAAGGCCAATCCTCTCTGCGCAAAGGCTAGCAAGGCAGGACATCAGCAAGATTAGTGATGAGCCGAGCCGCCTCGACGGTTGGATAGGTGGCTCATACCCACGCTGCGCGGGTATGGGGCGGGTCCAGATTCATCACGCAAGAGGCGAATCAGGGGCCATTGGAGGGGGATGAGCATGCCGTGTTGGGAGCATTTAGCCACGGCATATTTGCCCATTGCGTGCAGGGATGGCCGCTGGAGCACAAAGCTTCAGTCCAGGCAGCCAATCCAGCCCCGGGTGGGTTTCTTTGTTTGTCTGCGTGCACTTGATGTGCACGGACACGGACAGTGCGGGTGTTGTCCCTAGATTGGCAAATTATGCGGCATTTCAGCTGTCGGTCGTTCTCTGGGACTGGCTTCGGCTTGTCTTATTGCTGGAGCTGGTAGGGTAGGTGGGTGTCCTCTCATGGTGGGTGTTGTGGTGGTTCTTGTTGAGTGTTCATAATTGGGGAAGATACGGTGCTTGACTGGTTACCAATTGTTAGTAGATGAGGTTTGGTGGATCATATGCGATGAAACTTGAGGCTGCTCGTGTTTTATATGTCTGTGCAGGTGACTTCCCGAAATGGAAGGTGACATTCATTCTGTTCTACCACCTTCGATTCCTCCTCATCCCCATTGTGTTGGCTGCCATGACTTGATCAACATGTATCTTCGTCCTGTCGACAAACTTCAGGTTTGGTTCTTTCACATGCCTCATCAGAAACACGCCGAGTTGATACCCAACTTGTCGGAATTTCAGCAGATCCTCCACCACAACCTATTTATAGAAAAAGGACCTATATCCAGACATGCGCCTCGAGCCATGAACGACAAAGGATTATCAGGAGTCTCAAAAGACCTGAAACAAACGAAACGTGGGCCAACAGGCATAAAACCTAAGTTCACACAGCTTTCCGATCATACTTGACTAGCCTCAGACAATCTCCTAGTGACCCATGTAGTTGAAGTCTCGTCAAAAGCCCAGACTCTAGTTCGACGCCGTGGCGGCGCCAGCTTTGGTGGAAGAGATATCCAATCAGAATATATCTATGTCGCTTCAGGTCTGCTAAAGAGCTCTTTTGGATCCCGTTGAGGTAGTATTGTATTGGGTATACGCCGTAAACTTTCGATTCCCATCTTTTGAAGCATAGAATATCTATGATGCATTGTCGTGGCTAAGTATAGGGACAATACTGATCAACGAACAGTGGGCCTGAAAGATGAGAGATCAATCAACATGCGAGCAGTTACGGTAGACCTTGGAATTTTATACGTGTCATCTTGCCTGTTAGCATAGCTTTAGCCGAGGACGTCACAATCAAAGGTGCTATGCTTCATCGCTTCAAACTCAGCTAGCTCCTCCCAACCTTTCAGATACACCAACTATATAGGGTCTATACATGAATCCAACGATTACAACTCTACCCTCTCGGATTCATACCCGCCAAACCTGAACTTCTCCGCCGCTTTAGCGGCCATGGTCTCCCACTGGCTGAGCGTCTCAGCGGACGCAACCGAGTCATCTCCAAAGCCTGGCTTTCCGTCAAGGAAAGCCAAGCCCTCCATTGCCCGACCCTCGCAGGCACGCTGAAGAGCTAAAAACGCGAAATGACCTCCGATCACCGGCCGAGCAAAGAAGTTTGGCCCTGGGAACTCACCCCTGCCTTCAGTATTATGCAGATCCGTGAAGGGCAAGTCGGTCACCGTTTCGTTCACCCATCTAGCGACGGACTCGAGGATCTCACTTCGCACGTCCTCGCTGGCGACAGCCATAGAGAAAAACTCCCAGTCCGTCTTGGTGTACAGATGGCGGCTGTCCAAAGGAAGGCCGTACTTTTGCCTTACGTAGTGGTACCAGATAGACTGCTTCTGGTAGATATGATGTGGGACGAATCCGCTCTTCCTGGAGTGTGGGTGGAGTGACTTTTGACTGCCACGTGCAGGGGAAACATCGGTGCCCTCCAGGTGGAAGCAAAGCTGAGCATCTGCATACAGGTTATAAATCGTAGTCCAAGACCCATACCAGTCATAGGCAAGTTTAGCGTGCGTGCCGTCTCGAGACATGCCAAATTCTTCCCACTTCGCGATGTAGGTATCGGCGATATTCTGTATCTGTGTCAGAGGATTCACACTCCCAAGTCTTGTTGAATATACCAACCTTATAATATGATGCATTCGCCTTGTGTCCAGCCACTTCAGCTAGCTTGCTCATAGCATTAATACCGATGATGCCCTTAAGGGCAAGGTTTGTCTGAAGAGCAAGCCAGCCAGCGAAATCGTCCGTGGAAACTACATTCATCAGTTTCCCCATTATTCCCGCAAAAACAGAAGGGTCCTTACGTTGGTTGGCAGGCTCCAGAGAGAACTCCACCAGGTAACTGGTCCACTGGGTCCAGATTTTGTAACTGCGTTGAACCCATTTCTCTGCCAAGTGCTCGCCTTGGGCACCACCGCCCCATCTTCCGTCTTGCTTATCAATTCCCCCCAGGGCTTGAAGGTTATCCAGAGGGAAATAACCTGAGTTCTTGTCGGGTGTTTGAGGGGCTGTACCTCGAGTAGACCAAACGGAGGCCGCCGCCGAGTCCACAGAATAACGTAAGGAGTTCACAACAGCTAAACCCATGATGAGAAGGTTGCCACACTCCTCTACAGGCATGTACTCATCGTTGCCGTCTGGGTGACCGGTGGCATTGGGGAAGTGTGTTCCAAGGTCATGCATAGCGTACTTGTTCGGGTATTGTCCACTCGACATATGTTCAATCAGTGGCTCGAGGAGATAGGCCAACCATCGTGGGTTCGTGTAAAGGAAGAATGGGAATGAAGGGAAAATAACGTCGATAGTTTGGAAGTTACCGTTAGAAGAAATCTCCTTTAGGAACAGAATTGGGTTCTCAGGTGTCCCAGCAAAGGTGGTTGCTCCCATGACCTGTCGGGCTGAGAGCGCTACGATATCCACATAGTCGTAAGCCCCCGACTGATAGGCATCCTGGGCCAGCTGTTCCGAGTAATCGGAGGCCAACGTGCCCGCATTTGCCAAATCATGATAATGAAAGCTGAGCAGGGCCTCTTCATTGGAGAACCAGGACCTCCAGAGAGGCCGCATCAAGGTGAGCCCGCGTGAGGAGGCATATTGAACGACCGGATCTTGGATTAGGGCAATGGTGAAAGTCACGCTGTCGCTAGCAGGCCCTGATTTCTTTGAGGGAGTGAAAGACTTAGAGAACGCAAAGATCGGTTCTCGGTCACCGACGGCACGGAAAGTGCCATCATTCTCGTTACGCAAGGCTCCCTCGGCGGCAAATCCTCGCCGCACAGCCAAGGCTTCTCCAGATTGGAATTGAACGTCCTAATTTCAGTGTTAGCAGTGACATTTAGGATTCGCGGTGACGCTCATCCAAGGGACACGAACAGCAGGGCCAGTAAAGTGGAGGGTACCCCATTCTGCCCGGTCGCGGATCTCTGATAGCAGCAGCTCTGTTTCTCTCTTAAACCGCCATCTCTGAAGAGTAGGCTTGCTGCCTTTGGTGTCGAAACCATCATATTGCCATGTAATTTTGCTACCCGCATCTCCGCTTACCCAGCGGCCATTGACATCCATATAAATGTTGACACCCACATCTCCATGGACGTGGATCGTCACATACGAAGCCGGAATCGACTGCCGCAGAGTTGATGTAGGCGTAATGGGAGACAGGAAAGAAATGGTGATCTCAAGCGGAGTAGAAGCCGATGTATCCAAGTCAATGCGGTAAGTCAGGTTAGTGGTAGACGCATCGTAGTTAGCTCCCAGGTAAACTGGAAACGCTACCTCCGGTGAACTATGTTTTTGTTAGAAAAATTGGTAAAATCCCTTGATTGCTCCGAGTATGCTTACTCGGAATTAGAAGTTAGGGACTCATGGGGCTTGCCCACTAACGGATACACGGTCCCCGTACTAGGAACGTGTGCCATCAAGGAGAGGCCAACCTCCTCTCCAGTATAGAACATAGGCCATTTGGACCACGGCGCCTCACGAGCATTACCGAACCAAGTGCTGAGGTAAGGATTCCGTACAATCAGCGGTAGGACGGGCGGAGTCAGTGTTGATGCCGTACTGACTGCCGCCTGAAGGGCAGCTATCAGTACTACAAAGGATAAACGCATCACGATGGTGTTGGGTTGATCACGAGTGATGGGTGAGCCAGAGAAAGAGTGCAACACAGAGGCAAGAGAGGGGATGTGAGAGGTATGCAGGCACCGACCACGTGCAGACCCTGTGATGCAATAGTGTCAGAGAAGATCCCAAACAGTAATGATCTACCCCAATCCAACTAGTATTTACCCTACGTAGGCGATTCTCTACCTTAGATATCCTAAAGTTATATGAGAATATGCAAGGTAGTAAAAGCTCGAGGAAAGAAAGTTGGATAGAGGTGGTGATCTATAGGCGCAATAGTCAGACAGAGTGTTGGGTTTAATGGTGCATTGAGTTGGCGTTTCTTTGGAACCTCAAAATGCGGGGAAAGCTTTCGCACTTGGGCTGTCACGGGGTAAGAGGTAGCCCTTGAAATGTCAATATGGGGAAGGCGGTTTTAGGATGAATTCGATCCAGGAATGTAAACAGATTGGATAGATCAACTGATAGATTCCGCTTCCTATGTACTGTGTAGACCTTCATGTACTTCGGAGTAGCTCGGGAAAAGGTTGATGATGTCATTACTCAGAATTGATCAATATAGAACCAGTATGTCTCTCTTGGTAAAGGGAACCCATCGATATATTGTTAAGTGTAACTATATCATTAACTTTTCAGATTTCAGTATCTCTTCTCTTTTGGAATTCTTTATTGTGTGTCCTCTAATGCACATGCACTTATCGAATCGTCGCTTTACATATATAGCCAACGGCCTTGTCTTGCTGTTGGAGACTGGTCTTCTAATTGGAAAAAATTAGCTGATATGTTCTATAATGCTAGCCACTCACTCGAGAGAGCATTATGATAATATACTATAGCATCGAAGGACTACTGCTTGTCATTGCAGAGGAGAGTATATCTATTTGCGAGATGGAGCAGTAACATATTCGTGTAATTTTCTACTATAGATTCGGAGTCAGTCTCGTGTAAAATTTCATCCCCCCTCTTTTGCTTATTAGATCCGAGTGTTCTTTCTACGTATACCATCCCAAAAGGCATGCCAATAGGAGCTTTATTGGACACTCCAAGTTGTATCTACGAGTACCTACTGTTGAATAACTTGACTATTGATCTCTTGCATGCCGCCCCTGGGCGGTGGGGCTGAGTGGCACGTGCAGGACGGATCTAGACCCAAGCGGGCAGTGGCAGAGATCAGAACCACAAACAGCATGACTTGTGTTTGTTGACCACTCGATGGCTGGGAAGAGTCGCGCGTGGGAGTTTTGTTATATCCACAGCTCGTATATGCTTGTACTGTCCATAGCCATGCACATTTCTCTACGCTAGACCTTATACAAGTCTCACGTTGTGATCTCAGGGTTCCCCACAGTAGTCAGATGCCAGTCATTGCTCGGAAATGCTCAAGGCAGAAGGGCCACATGTTGCGCATTCCACGTTGAAGTATCACATGCTGACCTAATTGTCTCAGATCCTTGTACAGTTGGGATCTAGAGGGGTTGAGGAAGTTTCGCTACGCGGAAATCTGCAGTGGTTGTTGCGGCGTGGCGCTGCGTTTGCGTGTGGTCATAGTGCCAGATTCATTAGTAGATTACTAGAAGAGGGCGAATGTAAAGAATTCCCTTCATATCTTCCGTAATGTATAACAATGCAAGAAAGAAGAGAAGTTAGGGAGTTGCATGGGGATATGCGAAAAGTGGATATCACACGTCGCGGGGAGGTGGAAAATGGAACTAAGTCACGTCTCCCTCCGAAACGGCTTGGGAATAGCGCGAGATACACCAAACTACAACGCGATTTACCTCCCACGCGACAACTCGACTACCACCTTACCTCGCAAGACCGAGAGGACAAGTCGTGTTCACCTTCTTGTTCATATCGTCTTGAATCTCTCGTTCTTACTCTCTTCCTTCCACACCCCTCAACGCCACAAAAATACACCTTTCTCTTCCCACAATTGCCTCTGAAGCCCTAATCTCTCTTCCGCTCTCCGTACGGGTTCCTACTTGAACCCCAAGTTTCTCCCACCTGCCCTACTGTTACTACTCTTTCTCTCTAAACGCCCCCAATACACCGGAATGTACCCGACTACACTGCATCCCAGCCCCGTCAAAGACGGGAGGCGCGTTCTCGGTGAAAAGACCGCCAACGCGTGTCTGTCACCCGCTCACCATCGGCCCGATGCTTCGCCCAGCAAACGCTCGCTCCTAGAACCACCTTCTCCCAAAAAGCTCCTTCCCTCTCCTTTATTTGCTGGCCAGAAACGCACAATTGATCAAGTGGACGACCAAGCGAACAATGGCAACGTGCGGGCTCAAAATAACGAGTCTCGGGCGGAAACACAAACGGTACACGACGTGCAGAATGAAGCTCTCACACACTCTACAGCTCACAATGATGATCGGGTAAGCTGAGCGAAAACTCCGAGTGACATTTTGAAAATTTTAGTTTTGAATTGGGACTGATTATCAGGGGTAGTCGGACCAACAACAAACAGACGCGACGGAGCTACATGTAGCACCATCACGGGAATCAGATAAACAACAGTCACCAGCAGACACCACGCCGCTTGCTCGAAGCCCTAGACAAGAAAGAGAAGCAGGTTCAACACGAATTGTCCCTGAAGACCCTGAAACACGCAGATTATTTATCCAACAAGTCAGTGTAATTGATCTGCCATATTCCTATGTCGGTCTAACCCCACGGAACAGAAAGCAAACCTTCTTCGGAACCGAATCCAGAATGCCATGCGCCACGTTAAAGATCCTCAACTTGATCGCCGTCTGTCAGAACTAGAGGCCCACAGTCGCAAATTCCCGCGTCTATCACTCCCCGAGACGCTCACGCCCAGCCACCAGAAGGAAGCGGTGACACCGCACCGACAAGACGAAGACATCATCATGCCTTCCTCTATCACACCACGTGCTCTTCAACCCGCCGTCGAGTTCAAGCCGAGAACCGAACCATCATCAATTCCTCTCGGACTATCATCGCCTCCTTTATCGACAGAGAATGATAGTTCCCAAGATCCTATGAAAACGCCTACACAAACTCATTGCAGGACAGACACAGCAGGGTCTCTGATGCAGCTCAGCAGTCCTCCAGCTACCGTGTCGCGAACCGGCCGCAACAGAATCATGGGAGAAGTCGATGAGCAGGATGACATCGAAGGAAACCAATCCGAGAACCAGGCTGTTACACCATCTCAAAGAGGAGATGCTGTTGACGGGCTCCTGAAGCTCATGAACACGGCGGATAGACGTGAAGCTGCGAACGCCTGGACTGGCTGATTCTGCCTTCTGACGATGAGATGACCGTTCTGTCTGCTTAGATTGTATATTATATTTCCATAACTCTGTACACAGGACTAGATGCGCTAGCCATCTAGGATACCGAGGACACCCCGACGCGTCTACTGGCAAAGACGTGTTCGCCTCATCCGCTGTCTCCACAGACAAGAGTGAGGAAGCACTACCGGAACTCCAAACCATTGTATGGCGAGTTTTTTGATGCCTCTCTCCATTGCCTTCAAGCAATGGGAATTAGTCAATGATACCACATACTATTTGACGAGTTTATTGATGTCACGCTCGCATGTATCAAAGCTTCCATAGCACATAGAGCTCAATATACCAATTCCAGAGCACCAACGCGACATACTTGGCTTCGATCAATAGAGTATCGCGATTCACATTCCTTGTTTCTTACTCTGCTCAAAGTTCGACAGATCAAGGCATTGCCAGGTGTCCAGTTACAAGAAGCTAGATGTACATCAAAGCACGCCAACGTGCAATTGCGCTCTAAAAAGCTCGTCCAAACTGTAGAGAATAATAGACTCTCCACGATACTTGGGGAAAACGCTTCCCCACATTGGGGAACACATCTTGGGGTAAACCATTTAAGAACCTCATAGATTCCCCAGTTTTGGATCATGATTTCTTTCCTTATTTCTATAACCTGTAAATGTCAATACTTATCTATCCTAAACCACGATCTCCAAGCATCACTTGTTCCCCTCATGGCACCCACAACAATGAAAGCCATCCAAATCCAACAATACAATGAATCCTACCATATCTCCGAAGTGCCCGTTCCCAAAGCAAAGCCACACCAGGTTCTGGTCCGCATCCAAGCCGCGGGGTTCTGTCATACAGACCTCATGGCATTGAACAATAAATTTAACACAACGCTGCCCTTCATCGGATCCCACGAGCCCGCCGGAGTCATCGAAGAGGTAGGCTCGGAGGTTACAGGCTTCCAGCGAGGTGATAGAGTGGGTTGTATCAATTTCGATAGCGTCTGTGGTGAGTCACAAGGATAATTCCATAGTTGACTTTCCTGTTTATCTCTAATTGCTATAAACTTGTATAGGTAAATGCGCGGATTGCAAAGCGGGTCTCCCGATCTACTGCGATGCGCCTCTAATGAAGGGTATTACGACAGATGGCGGCTGGGCAGAGTATATGGTTGCGTATGTGGTGAGGTGTCAAAATACCCTCAAACGAGCTAGTTTTGCTAATAATGCTATGCTGATATTCCAGCGACGCTCGCTTTTTGGTCAAACTCCCAGATGACATGGAGTTCAAGGTTGCTGCGCCGTTGATGTGTGCGGGTATTAGTATCTATGGAGGGATTGTTCGTGCGGACGTCCCCGAGGGCGGGTCGATTGGGATTGTTGGGATCGGTGGATTGGGCCATCTTGGGACACAGGTTGCGAAGTGCATGGTAAGGTTATTTTCGACGTCATTGTTAGTATCCCAGACCAGTTCGCTAAGCAGTTCCGGATGATAACAGGGCTACAAGGTGGCGGCAATCGACGTGAAACAGTCCGCTCTAGATGCAGTAGCATCTTATGAGCATAGCCCCGACGTTTTGATTCTGGCTACGGATTCAGTTGAGAAGTCCCTGGACAAGATCAACGGGATGATTTCCTCGGATTACCCCGGGCTGGATGCCACCGTGCTTGCGACGGATCATCCAGCTGCGTTTGAGCTGGCGGCGGCTCTGACCAGGAAACATGGAACCATGGTGCTTTTGGGTCAGCCTGAGAAGGGGATTACCATGTCTTATCAGACGGTCATCTATAAGGATATCAAGCTGGTTGGCTCTTTGGTGGCTGATACTGCGCAGGCGCAGGAGCTGGTCGAGTTGTTCCATCGGAATAGGCTTCATGTTGAGATCACGGAGTGGAAGATGGAGGAAGCTGAGCAGATGAGGCAGTGGTATTGCTCGGGAGCATCGAGTGGGAAGAATGTCATAGTGATAGAGTAGTGTGTATGTATGTATGTATGTATGCATGTAGTATGCATGTTTGAATGCCAGTACAAGCAGTCGCACTGCATAAGGATGCATACTAGTATTAATGTCAGAAAAGCCGCGGCGATCGGCATTGGCTCGGCATCTCCGCCCAGTCACAAAAAAGGGTCTCGCCATCAACTGATTATTCATTCACATGATAATTATTGTTCCACAGGCTGTCACAAAACATCCGTCGGCTCTTTTCCTTTCTCTTCTCCATACAACCCCTTTACTCGGTTGATTCAATTCTCAGACCTCTCGTCGGAAACGATTACGGGCCGACTACAATCGCCTACGCATTCCCTCCCAAGTCATCACTGCTTCTCTTCCCCTCCCCCGCCTTTTCGGAATCATGTCCACCCCATCGGCCTCGCCCGTTAATGCGGGTGATCCCCAACAGAACGAGTCTGCGCCCGTTACCACTTCAGCAGAAAATGTAAACACGGCGGCGGCGGCGACCGCAGCGGCTGTCCCAGAGACCCCGGCACAATCTGCAGACAAGCCACAAGCGCAGCCTCAGCAACCAAAACAAGCAATTGATGATGACGACGACGATGAATCGGACCTGGATGAATTGGACGGTAAGCTTTGAGCATCAAATTTCATACAAATAGAATCAAATCTCAACAACGATTATCAAAAGATGTCCTCGACGACTTCAATAAGCCCAAACCCGCCCCCGCCCCCGCCCCCAGCGCTCCATCTCAACCTGCGCCCGCGCCAGAAGCCAACGATTTCGATGAAGAGGCTTTCATGAAGCTGCTTGAAAAAGATATGGCGAGCATGATGGGCCACGCTGCTAAGGAATCCGGGGCATCTGACGACAAGGGTTTCGAAGACACCATCAACCAGGGTGCGGACGCCTTCACGAAGCAACTGGAGGAGAGCGGGATTCCGCCCGGTGACTTCCTCAAGCAGCTTTTGGCGGATGTGATGGCTGAAGAAGAGGGTGGGGATGCTAGCACTGGAGCTGCTGCTGCGCCATCGACTGGTAGTGCTGGGTCTTCGTCTGGTGGGGCGGGAGCTGGAGCACCGCCTGAGTCGTTCAATGATGCTATTCAGCAGACGATGAATCGTATGAAGGATTCCGGAGATAAAGCTACGGCTGCAGCGTCAGAAGATGATGGGGATGATATGTTGGCGAATCTGATTAAGGCTCTTCAGACGACCGGCTTAGATCCTGATGAGGAAGACGGCGGTCTGATGAATGTGGTTGCGGCGATGATGGAGCAGCTGTCGAACAAAGAAATGCTGTATGAACCGATGAAGGAGCTTGATGCGAAGTTCGGGCCCTGGCTGGTGGAGAACAAGGGCAAGGGGAAGTTCTCCGATGAGGAAATGGAGCGGTTTGAGAAGCAGGCGACTATTGCGTCGCAGATTGTGGCCAAGTTTGAAGAGCCAGGTTACACAGATGAAGATGCTAAGTGTCGCGAGTATGTGTGGGGAAAGATGCAGGAGGTATGTGATCCCTTTCGTTCTGGGTCTGTTGGGTTATGCTTACTGATCTGGTGCAGATGCAAGCTGCCGGAAGTCCACCGGAAGAACTCGTCGCGAATCCGTTTGGGCAAGACCTCAAAGGTCCCGGAGGTATGCCGATGCCGGATTGTACCCAGCAATAAAGATCTGGTCTGAAATTACCGATCTTTCGGTGACATTTACCCAGTCTCGCTGCAATTGCAGACCTCATCTCTTATGGCACTTCAAATGCATCTGGTGTTGGCATCTTCTGTACATATATCATTTCGATACCCTATTTACTAAGCCAAATGTCACAAGGCTATCTATCTTGACATGTATATCACAGACAAATACGTAGGCTGTTGGCCCGAAACAAATCAAATGTGGACCGCCAGCGACCAACCCAACCGAACGCCGTAACGCAACCTAGCCCATATGTATTACCCAGTTCCTTGTATATCCTCCCAAGTCGTGCCGAAGTATCGTAATCCTCAGTGTTCTCACCCCGACATATCCATATCTTGACTCAGTGCTGTCTGATCGGCTAAATCCATGAATATGTCCTCGTACTCCTCATCACTAAACGATGAACCTGGATCTTTCCATGCACCGCCATTATCTTGTCCAGAGGGCGTCTGCATATCCACATTCTCAAGCAACTCCATCTCCATTGCCTGCTCCTGCGACAGATACTCATCCAGAGCCTGGATATCCGCCTCGTCTAAGAAAACGATCAGGTTAGTCATTGATCCCACCAACAAGGTTCTTGGAGAGGGCAAGCATAGAAGAAAGCCTACCCAGCACATCGTCAACACCCTCTTCTAGATCCCTCAAGTATCCCTGCAGAATGCCATCCGTCCTCCTCCGCATCGACTCACCCCACTTCTGCTGCTCCGCCACATGTTCCATCAACACCAGCTGTTCGCCCCTATTAGCAAAACGTGCATCGTCGCGCCCTTGCTTGATCCGATTCAAGAAAACATTGCGTCTCGCTTCTCGCGCGGACGGCGATGAAGAAGCGGTGCCGTTTCTGGACGCGTTATTCAACGGATTAGATATCGTGCTTGCATAGCGCTGAGCATATGTAGGCGAAGTCTTGGAGCGGGAGGACGTGTCCGCGCGCTTCGAAGGCGAAGGGGAGATCGGAGACCCGAAGAATGGATTCCTGGACTCTGTTCTTGACGTGACGGGTGTGTTGGGTTGACTTTCTGAAGCTGGGGGGAAGTGGAACGGTGAGGATAGCGAGGCCATCGGGCGCGCCGGCGAACTGCGAGGTGAGAGTGGAGACGGACGTGCGGGCGCGGTAGCGCACTGCGAGAAATTGAACTGTTGCATGGGGGGAAGTGCGGCGAACATGATGCTAAGGATGATGGGCAGTAGTTTGCGCGTAGGATGGAGTCAGTGTAGGTATAGGGAGTCTGCGTTGTGGTTCCCCGGTTCGGAGATGGTGGGTATAGACGGTGGCGGTACGCGTCTCGAATCCAGAGGTGCAGCTTTTGATGGGTTGATATTGTGTCAATGGAAGTGGACTTCGGGATTTGGGGGAGCGAGGAAGCCTAATTAATGGTTTATGTGGAGTCAAGAGCTACTTTGCTCCTAATGTCCTCGCGTGCTTGAGTTCTTGAACTCCAGCCACCGCGTAAGACAGGTGGGCTGGAGGGATTCTTAGCGTCGATCCGTGAGCGCGTCCCCAACACGCCATCACGGGGCACTAGTCCCGATGGGGTCATATTGCATTCCTGAGGCTGCAACGCTGGCTACAAGGGCTTGGATGCGTGGAGTACATAATTCATCGATTCAGACCATGTGGTATCACGCCGCTTGGCTACATGCTAAACAAATTGGTATATCACCACCTTAGAGATCGCAGACGAGGTCGAATTCTGAGTCGTATGGGATGGTGGTTTGGGCCAATTGCGCGGTTACCGTGGTCGCATCTGTTGTCGAGCTGGTTGCTGTCGGCGCAGAAGCTATGGTAGCATCTTGTGACGCTACGCTCGTAGATGATACGGTCGACATGCAACTGTCTATTCAGCAGTAGGTCAGAAGAATTGTTGGTGGTCTGCCAAGGCCGAACGTACTTAACTGATCCTGACAATCTTGGAGGGAGAAGGATGATGACTGGTCCGTGTTGGCTATCTGAGTACGAGTTAACAGACTTCTGCAACGTTCGTCAGTGACACAATGCCATACTGACCTTTTGGCAAGAGTTAAATTGGTTGTTGCAGCTGATGGATGGACTCGAGTTAGATAAGGACTCCACGTGGGACAGTGAAACATGGGACGTGGAGCTCAAGGCGAACTACCTTCTCGAGGCTGCTGATTCATAATCCGTCTATGAGAGATCAGCTTGTTTATCATTCGATGATGGGAAAATGATCAATAGAGACTTACAAACGTGTCGCCGTCCACGCCATACGGCCTTTCAGGATCACCCGTGTCCGTGACCTAGGGACATGTAAATATGGATACATCTCACAAGTCAGAATAGTATGGAACTCACAGCGGGTGCAGAACCCCCTAGTGTTCCGGTAAATGTCTAATGAGAGATTCAAGGTATGAGAGTCTAGCTTTAATCATGATGACAGGAATAGCCGACTACCTGACGCTTGCCTATAGAGGCTGGCGCATATACCAGCCCGACTGGATCCGGGATGAGCGCGCTCGCGTCAAGGATCAGAAAAAGAGCGCTGAGGATTAATGTCATAGAAGGCGCCATGTCTCGGGCTGTTACTCCTGTGGCATGGACTTGATCACCCAGATACTAAAAGAAGTAGCAGCATCGCGAATGTGGGTAGTGCTGTGTAATAATATTAATTGGGTAAAGGTCAATCATTATCTGCTGGACACTGTTCCGCCGCATATAAATATTCCGTGTCCAGCGGCTGGGGATTTACATAGATTAGGTTTTCAATTCGACACGGGGTAAATCCTTGCCTGTATGGGAGAGATGGCGGTTAAAGTGTTCTATTAACAAGGGGCCTTTGGTGTTTCATCGGTCGCACTATTCCGATGATTATCCGCACGCGATATACAGCCAGTGCTTCGAGGTGGTACTGAAGAAAACACATTCGAGCTAGTTTCTGTGACAATTAAATACATAAATATCGGGGTAAAAAAGCTTTTTTGTTTAGTTGGATCGCCAGACGATTGTCCAACCAAGCTATCGAACAGAAAGAAGAGACGGTGAGACGGAGGATACCACACATCTCAGGATCTCTATGCAGAACCAGTGCTTCGAGCGGGGGAATCAAAGACAACAAGCCAACCATGAATGCTAAAACAAACCGCTGTACGTAGAAAGGAGCGTGATCTTAGGGAAGGAATGACAGGCGTTCTATGCGAACAGTATGCAAACAACAAGGACATTGAACACGTTGCATACCAAAGAAAAGAAGAAAGAGACCCAATGTATCTTCACCAACAAGCGCCAATGATAACTGCGTAATACTCATACAAACTCTACAGTGTCGAAATCACTGGACCATCATGTACCATGCCCACATCTATATGGAAAGGGCCAGGTACGATCAAAGAAAGCTGTCACGTTAAAACCGCCGGGGAGTGACAAGAACCTGACTCATTTAGAAATTCGATGCGGCGTTGACAGGTCCGGGGTTATGGTATTGGTCCAAAGTGCTCTTGAAAGGCGTGCCAGCAGCCCCGGGGCTGGGAGCCTTCTCTCGAACGCCGGAGCCGACAGCAGTACCGCTCATGAGGTCTGTAGCTTCGTCGTTGTCGTGGCCATTACGCTTGCGTGCATGAATTCTCCAGGCAACCACACCAAGAGCACCGATTAAAATTGCACCACCTACACCAACGACGACACCAATGATGGTCTTCTTTTGGTTAGAAGAGAGGCCCGAGCTCTTCGAGTCCTTCTCTTCCCCGTTCAGGGAAGGAGAGTCCGTCGCGCCGACCGGAGCGGACGAGGTGGTGGTAAGCGTGGTGTGAACAGGTGTTCCACTGACCGTCTGGACAGTAGTAAGAGTCTTCACAACAGGAGTTTGGGAAGTTTGCGAGCTGTTGTCTGCTGAAGTTTTGGAGTTGCTGTCGCTGTTGTTATCTGTTGTAGGTTCGCTAGTGCTTGATGCTGAAGTTTTCGTCGGCTGGTCGGCCGAGGTTTTAGGGGGGTCTGTGGTGGAAGATGACGAGTCTGATGTTGTTGTGGGGTCAGACTTGGTGGCCGTTGGCTTGGTGTCACTAGTTGTCGAAGTGCTTTCTGTAGACTCAGACGAAGATGAAGAAGTTGATGATGTCGACGATGTGGATGTCGTGGTTGGATCTGTCTTGGTAGGTGCGGCATCCTTAGAAGTAGCGACATCTCCGCCCGTGACCGCTACGCTCTGACCGGAGACAGCGGCCAACAGGGACAACGAGTATAAGAGGAACGAAAGACTCGACACTCGCATGATGGGCGGGTGATGTGGGATGGAATCAATCAAAGTAGTCTCAATTCAAAGGCCCGGAGGGGATGAAGCGAAAGAACAAGGCGGTTCAATCTCGTGACTGTATGACTGACAGATACTCCGGAGACTTCCAACGAGGGTATGGGAGGTGGCAGGAGGAAGGATAAAAAAAAAAAACGATCGTACGTATCAAGAGGGGAAACTCGGTGAACTGCAGATGTAGGAGGGGTTAACGAAAGACTAGATAGATATACGTATGATGAGAGGCACGATGTAGGTACGAGAAGAGAAAAGAGTGTAAGGAGGCGGCGGGATAAAGATGAAAAAGGATTGGAGAGACGGAAGGCTCATTGAAGAAAGGGAAGAGCGCGCAGTCCCACTCTGACTGGTTCCTCCGGCTAATCACCCTCTCATCATGTGTCGGCTTGGGTGCGAGGGACGCTAGTCCTCATTCTTTTCTCTTTTCTCTTTTTTTTGCCCTTGTTCCATACCACACACGGTTAGTGAGGTCTGATTGAACTAGGATTTTACCGAAAAGGCGGACCAATGCACCAATACCAGCAACGATGCCCGATGTGGGTGGGCGCTAGTGTCAACTTGGAAGACTAAGCCCCCCCACTGGCCAGTCAGTAAATGCGGGCTGAGACATTCTAGCCAGGAGAAAATTGGATCGCTGGGACTGTGTGCCTGACCTCTCGGGGCAGAAACTCTGTTTGGCTCCGCTATCCTTCGCTATCGCCATTAGTCCATACGACCGTTTCCTTCTTAGCCCGTCAGCTGTCAATGTTGGTCTACGGATGGGGTAACATCGTACATACAGACGGCATAAGTGGAAAATCCTGGGTGAGATGATCTTCCTGAAAACTGATTCGAATGCAATCAATAGAAAAACCGTGCTATTTTAAGGAACGTCCCACGGTACGCCTGCCCAGAAACCACAGGACACCTGGCTGCTGAGTTGTTTAATCATTTATGCACCCATGGTTCTTTAGGTAATGTTACATAGGAAAAACACAAACAAATCACCTTTACCTACTCCGTACCCCAACATGAATCTCTCCCTACCGACTCAAGAATTTTCTTCGTCGCTCATTTAGGTGCCGTGCCTATCCGAGGATTCCAACAGCACCAGCAATACAAGCCGGAACATCCTCGGGCTTTCTAATGAGTTCCCCATTTTCCTTTAGGCCCATCTCTTGTCTACTGTGTAGTGCCGGTACTGCCGACCGGGTAAACGCCGATCGTCTTCAGTTGAGACATTCAAGCCCTAGCAAATCTTATGCATTAAGTGTTGGTCTGTTGGCTTGAGCACCCGAAGGAAGATCGGAAGGATTTGTGATCTCGTTGTCCTTTGCACTGAATTGTCTCTACTCGTAAGTTCAGTATACAGGGCCTTCTGAGTCTGTGTATGGCTGTGCACGGCTGCATCATCCAACACCTCTTCCAACGATGCAGAGTGTGACGATCGACAGCAGGTGATAAGTTCTAGATCCTGAAGTTCTGGACCACCGCCCACTTCTTCTACTGGTGCTGCCTTACTATCATTTGCTCGTCACTTCGAGTAAATGTACTAACCAAATCAGGCGTACTGACTGTGTGTCATAATACTCAGGGTACGGAGTACATATGCTCCGTACGAGCCACTGACATACATTAGTAATTCACATCGAGTGTGTACCACTCACATGACTCGACGGGAGGTGGCTCCCAGTACGGAGTACTAGGAGCAAATTCTGTTGTGGAGGCGAGTGTCATGCAGGTTCATACACATTCGAGGTGATTCCAGATCTACCGGCGTGATGCTCGGACATGACTGAGATTATTCGACGCCACTGTTCGTGTGACGGCCCAACAGGCCCGTCTACTGATATACATAACTAATATCATCTTGTCATACAACTGGTATACGTGACTAGATCATGGAAGCCCTGTATTATCCCCTGTCCGGTAACCCTCGGCTAGCCCGGGTGCCCAGGGGCTCCCCAGCCTTACTGGTTCCAGGAGGTGGATGAATGACCGTCCCGGTTCTAGAAAGCACAATAGATTTACAACGCAGAGACAAATTCACAACGGCTACATGGCAGAGAGGAAGGAGCGTTTTAGATGGATGTCAATGCCATGCTTCACATTTCCAGCAAATGCGGCGCCAACACCCTCGCAGAACACCTACTGCAGGATTGAGGGGAAAGTCTAGCTTGGTTTCAGGAAATCAGTCGAGGAATAGAGTGGCAACGTGCCTTTGTTCGCAAAGAAGCTCGATCATATCCTTAGGGAGTTGCGGTTATTTGGTAGCTACTTGTCATGTAACAGGTGGAGAGGTTATATTTCGGAGGCTCGGAAGGCTGCGTATTCCTGGCAGCAATTGCGCTACCAAGGGCCGTTATTCATTGTTCTGGAACTTGTCTATGTTGGGTTGACTCCACTTGTTGTAGCCACGCAGAATCCATCACCAACGTCAGCCATAAGAGATGATGTGGTGACTTGTGACATGTTTATGATCATGTATAGCTTAAGTCTTAAGCATAAAAAAGCATAATAACCTAAAAGTCAGTGCATGCACATGCAGATGCATGCCTGCTAGCTGTTACTCGAAGCCGAGTCTGTATCTCTTCGGGTACGCATATTGCCCGCGATTCATTAACATGCTTGGCTTACAGTCCTTACATCAGATAAACACTGGTTCTAGGATCAAAAAGAATAGTATTCCGATTGAAGAAGCCTTTTAGGTATTGCATTCTATTGATATGTACGCTTCCAACTTTCAAAGCCGAGCTAGACCATTGACAGAACCAGATAGGCAAAGCGGATGGAGCGGTTGACGTTTGATCTCCGGATGGAATGAGGGATGTAGCTCACGGTGCAGAAGAGTTACAGCCCAATCGATATCCGGTCATACAAGGGTTTGAAATCCAAAAGTATGAGATCAACAACGATAATGCAAGGGGGAAAAAAAGGAAAAAGACAGAAGACAGAGAATAAAGAAGAGAAACTAAATTGGGTATCATAGTAGTCATAATCGTACACGAAGCTTGGGGAATGATCGAAACCATATACCGAAGCCCATCATTAGAACTTATTCGGTGGTTTTCCCTTGAGCTGGTCTTTGATCTCTTCCTTAAAGTATTCGACGAACTTGCTCAAACCGGGTCCTAGAGATGCCATCAGCATCGGCTCAACACATGTACATTTCATCCTGTAAGCACATGATGGCCATACCATGATTGTCTCTATGAGTACCTCCCATTTCTTCGGGAGGTACCCCATGTCTCAGATGTTGGACTTTTTGATGGACTCGTCCCACAAGTCTGTGAAACGCCGGGCTGGAGAGTAGCTATACGAGAGAATATCAGCACGAAACTCGCGCGTAGGCGATTGCGTGTGGATGTGCATACCCGAGCAGTGAGCCAAACCTAATTGGAGGGGAATGAGTCAGTCATGGATGATATCGAGGATGGCAATAGAAAGGAAGCTGGTCTGGAACAACGCGATTACGTACCTCGAAAGTCCGGAGCCAGAACATTCGGAACACCATCTTGCGAATGAGCTGTTAGTACCTAGTAATCACAGGAGGCAAATGTACGGAGAATGTCGATGGTAGCTGATGAGCAACGAGACCACAGGCCTCAGGAGCCGAAGGAAGAAAAAAGAAAAGAGGGAGGAGGAACAAAAGCCGAGGAGGTTTTTCAGGTGTGCTGTCAGAGAAACGGAAAGAAGACTAGTCAGAAAGTGGCCTTTCCCAAGTCAAGCCTTTAGCTGTGCCACAACAGCTGACCTGCAGCCAGTCAAAAGCGACGGTTTCAGTCCACCTGCCCGGGTTAATTTTGTGGCAAGTAATTGACGAAGTCGTGCAACGGCAGGACTTAAACGTGGAATGTGTTATCATTGCTTCTTTTAGGTAGATCTATGGACCTGATCGTCTTGTAGAAAAATTCTCCAGAACTTCTCCTGTACAACAAGTTTAATTTTATTTTGATTGTATTTTACTATGACCACTCCTCTCTGATTATATATCTTTTTCTTTTCCTTTTTCTTTACCTTTTTTCCCTTTTCCTCCCCAATATTACAAGATTCTTCTATTGTAGGTATCAATTTATCCTTTCTTCAAATTACATCACCGTCGATAGTCACGCCGACAATTCCATTCTCATTGAGCCCCTACCGTGATTTCCTGGAAACTTTTTCGATTCTTTCTTTCGTTCTTTGCTGTCTTGAACTTCTCCAATCATCTGCAGAACTTGACCTGATTGTTACATTAATCCCGACAATTGCCGCCTATTATTTCCTTCTCCCTATCCCGGACTGCTGGCACGTCCTTCAAATATAGAAGTGCGGGGGAATAACTGTTTTTTTTTTTTTTTCTTAATTTCTTTTGTCCCTGTTGCGGGAGGCATTTAATATCTCTATATTTTTA